AGGGCCACTCGATCATCACGGGACATGCTGCCAATGTCAGCTAGCATTGGAAGTCGTTTGCTGCCAATCTAAACGAAATGAAAAGGTAGATTAAAACACAAAAACCTTGTTCAAGTTTTTTACTACTAACCTTCGTCCTGGGCAGCACCTTCTGCTCCTCCCGCCGGTCGCCCACTCTTACATACCGATCGATCACCCTCGGATTGGACTCACTGCTGCGCAGCAGCCCGTAAATGTACTCACAGAGCTCAAACGAGGCCTGGCAAGAGGAATCAGTCAGCGAGTAGTCCTCCACCAGCGGCCGAAGGAACTCCACCTGGCCGCAGAAGATGGACACTGCCCGCTTCTGCAGCTGTTCCTCCACCAGGCGCTGGTGCGCCCAACGGGGCATGCCACCGCTCTGCTCCTGTGGAAACAGTCGCTCGTAGTTGGCGCTGAAGTACGCCGCAATGGATTGGCCTCGAGGGGCGGAGATTGCCTTAAGGGGCGGTCCCATGTAGCGATCTTCGATGCACTGCACCATTCGGTGGTGGGCGCCGACCAGGCGCTGCAGGTAGGCCTTCACCGCGGCGGGCGTAGACTGCGTGGCCAGCCAGCTGAAGACGGTGTGTATCTGGTGGAAACGGAAGGACTTCTGGCGAGGAGCGGCCCGGTCCTTGGGCAGTCGGTTGATGACGTCCTTTGCCTCGTTGAAGTCAAAGTAGTCATTGCCGAGGATGGCGCCGCCGATGGGCACCAGCTCCGCCTTCAGGCCGCGAAACTTGCTCTGCAGAGCCGACAGGCGGTACAGCTGACACTTTAGGTAGGGCCGGTCGGCGGCCCCGGTGCCGCCGTGCACCTGAAAGTCATCCAGAAGAAAGGACTTGGTGTTGATCACTCCAGCGGAAACGTTTTCCAGCAAAAAGTCACTGTCGCCAGAAAGAATGGGCGCATTGAGGTCGGCGGCTATGGTGGGCAGAATGTCGTCCGCCTCGAGGATGGACTTGTACACGGCAATCTTCAGCCGCCTAATGACCTGTGATAAATAAAAAAGTTTTAAAGTTTGTACAATCTTAGGAAAATCCTCGTAAACACTCATACCTGTACAAACATGTACGAGTTGAGCAGTGAGTTTATCTCCTCCGAACCGGTGCTAGTGCCCTCGTAGATCGCCTTGGCCGTCTTCAGCCGCTGATCAAAGCGTTCCAACTTCTTCTCGCGCTTGTCATCCTCAAATGAGCCATCCATGATCACCACCGGGGTGACGCCACAACGGAGCAGCGCCTTGAAAAAGGCTTCAACGTAGAGGGCGAAGCTGGCGTAGTCGCCTGCGTAGTCCTTGTCATCGTGGCGGCGCAGAAAGCGGCTGTACAGCTCATTCTCCAGATTAAGTCCGTCAATCACCAGAATGGTGTCCTGCAGGCGGTGTTCCACGAGAAGGCCACTTTCGGCGATGTACGTCTGAAAGCCACGAACACCCATATTGGATCAGAATTGCAACAAGTTAAAAACAACAATCACAACAGAAACAGTAACAAAAAAGTGTAGCCTTTTCAAAGTGTGCTTCTGTGGCCCAGTGGCCGACTCTGTGTCGCACTTTTTATGTCTCACAGCAGCAGAATCAACCACAGAAAGAGGGAGAAGCACGGCCACCTGTGACACTTTTTGGCTTGCCTGCTGCTGCTGCTGCTGCTGCTGACGGAATGACTGACAGTAGTGGCTAGATTTCGTAAGGAAAGCAGAGAAAAAAGGCAGTTGCTGGTAGTNCCTGCAGGCGGTGTTCCACGAGAAGGCCACTTTCGGCGATGTACGTCTGAAAGCCACGAACTCCCATATTGGATCAGAATTGCAACAAGTTAAAAACAACAATCACAACAGAAACAGTAACCAAAAAAGTGTAGCCTTTTCAAAGTGTGCTTCTGTGGCCCAGTGGCCGACTCTGTGTAGCACTTTTTATGCCTCGCAGCAGCAGAATCAACCACAGAAAAAGGGAGAAGCACGGCCACCTGTGACACTTTTTGGCTTGCCTGCTGCTGCTGCTGACTGACTGACAGTAGTGGCTAGATTTCGTAAGGAAAGCAGAGAAAAAAGGCAGTTGCTGGTAGTGGTCGTCTGTTTGTCGGATGATTTGTTTTTTCCTGCTCAGCTTGATACTACGCCTCTGTACTACAGACTGTAGTCTACAGTTGTTGCAATCGCTGTCAATAAAATTCCACACCTTATCAGTGTAGTGATAGAGTGGCCCCTTTCAGAGATTAGATTCACAAGCAAAGTTGTTGACTTTTCTTGGAAAGCTGCACTGTACAATGTTCAGTGTACACAAAAACAAAAAAAAAGTGACACAAGCTGCTCAAGTTGCTGATTAGNCCTTTCAGAGATTAGATTCACAAGCAAAGTTGTTGACTTTTCTTGGAAAGCTGCACTGTACAATGTTCAGTGTACACAAAAACAAAAAAAAAGTGACACAAGCTGCTCAAGTTGCTGATTAGCAAAAGAAAATATTTTGGTTGCTTGAGAGAGCGGGGCGTTAGAGCGCTGTTGTTGCCGGGCACACACACACGGGAAATACTTGCAAACTATTTTTTGTTTTTTATTAACTAAAAACACGAAACTACTGAGACGAGAACATCTTCGGCTTCCAGAAGCTGTCACAGATGTTCTTCCAGTAGTCGTCGACCATGTGGTAGAAACTGGCCTCGAGGTGCATGTACCTAGTGTTAAAGTTGTCTCCACCTTTGACTGCCTTTTCCCAGGCCACACTGTGGCCGCCACTGCCCAGCTTTGCCGGACTGCCCGTCTTGGCAAAAGAGGTCCACGCGTGGATCATCTGCTCGCTCAGCTGGCGCAGTGGACTGCCCTGCTTGGTCAGCTGCGTCAGAAAGAGATAGAACATGTCCTGGCCGTGGGTGACGCCCATCCAGGATGGCGTGGGGCTGACGCCGGGGAGGACGGCGTCCTGCATCAGACGATACGCAAACAGATTCCTCTTTTCAGCTCCCTGGTGCTTGGCCACCTCTTCCGCGTAGAGTATGGTGGGACAGACCAGCTGATAGTCGCCCCAAACGTCGCCCAGCACCCGACGGAACTCATTCTGGCTGATAGCATGGATATGGGCCTCGAGGCGCAGCTTTTTCAGATAAAAATCGGCCACCTCCTTGGCCACCCTTTCCTCCTCCTGGTAGTAGGTCATCATCTTGATGATGTCCGCCTGTGCAGACTCCAGTGTGTAGTTGAAGTGCGGGGTGATCATGTTTGGGAGGACGGCGGCGGCAAAAGCCGAGCCTTCATTGCGAGTAACGCCGTACTGCAAAAAGAAAATTAAAAAGATGATTACAAAGTTGATCAAAACAAAAATATCCACAAAACTCACAATAATGTCCACGTGATTAAACTTGCCCTCCTTGAGGGCAATCTCCGGCTTCAGCGGAAGCACCTCATCGCCGTACACTGGCACGTAGAAGGTGTTCGCCAGAAAGTCGCCCACCTGAGCCGCCTTCAAGTCCTTGACGCTCTTCTTCGCCAGACAGTTCATCGTCTCTGTTAAATGGCTGTCCACTGTACAGTTGACCTTTCGGGCGGTGATCTTTGTCTTTTCCAGCGAGTGGCTGATAGACTCGGCGACCAGCTTGGCCGTCGGGGCGCCCGACTGCAGAATGGCCCGGTGGAAGAGACCTTTAGCGAGCGGGGAGAGCACTAGAGCGCCCACTGAAATGGAGCCGGCACTCTCGCCAAAGATGGTCACATCGGCGGGGTTTCCGCCAAAAGCGGCGATGTTCTCCTGTACCCACTAAAAAATAAGCAAAAAATGAAAACCTTCATAAATACATTACGTCTCTAGCTGGTTCACTAACCTTGAGCGCAAAGATCTGATCGTGCAGCCCAAGGTTGGGCGTCACATGGCCGCCAGTGGCAAAGCCAAACGGTCC